ATCTTTGCCCTCCAGCTCACTGCCTCAGGGAGAAGAAAAGCTCTTCTCTGGTCTGTGCAGAGGAGCTGCTACAATTTTTAATTGGATACAGACCACTCTCTCCCGTGGCGCCATGGCCACTGCTCCGAATCTCGGCTCTGTCTCCATACAGCCCGCTGAGGCCCTCTCCCTTGCACACAGACTGGCTCAGCTGCCTCCCACCAGTGCGGAGTCCCCCAAAACTATAGCGTTGCCTTTCCCAACTGATGATCATCTCCACCAAGTGCTGGTGCAGAGAACTTAGTCTGGTACTTCATTACCACTACCGCTACTTTTTCTTGATGGCTGAGGCAGTAACACTACCCTGGCATCTCGATTTATTTGCATGACATGCAAATAAATGTCCCCGCTTTGGTTCAGCTTTTCTCGTAGGTCCGAGTCCTGCAGCACCATTGCTCATCCGTGGTAGGAAATAACCAGAGGGCCATGGCTGTATTTAGCTTCCAAGGAAGCCATGAACAAACAGGAGACAATATTCCAGCTACAACCTTGTGAGCATCAAGCGCAAGGGGAGCATTGCGCCTCTTACGCACAGCTCTTCATCCGGCCCGACGTGGCATTTGTGTTTTTCATGAGAGTGACGCTGTTGACGCATCTTCGCTTCACGAAGCATCGGTCGTTCCTGCAGAGCCTGTTGCCCCCCCCTTTTTAAGCAGCTCTGTGTTGCAGTTACCACCTACCCTTACCAAAAAAACCCAAAGGGCAATTTTCCAACCTTTCTTCTAACCTGCCACAATTCTTTCCCAGTGCGGCTTCTGCCTTCCCAAGCACTCGGTGCTGCTCCCAGCTTGACATCGTCTGAAGCACAGGGTGGGGGCCTCACTCCCCCTTCCGCCACTAGTGGAAACACCAAATTGGACTTGATGCCCGGATAAACCCCCTGGACCCTCAAATTAATCACGCTTCGCTGGGTGGGATAATCACTGAAATTAGTTCGAGACATTTTTTCCTCTTGACCAGCACAGGCTGGACAGGGTCTGGTCCCTGCTAAGTTTGTCCCAAGGATTAGATAACATTTTAGGGCATAGTTCCCCAAACTCCTCTTTTTTTGGCTACTTAGAGGCGCTGTTTGGCAAGAGACAGGATAGGTGTTCTCAAAATGCTGCCACGGCTCCAAGATGTTGTCGATGAACTCCTCCCCTGTACCGGAGCGTGGGGTTCCTGTGGGCACCCGTGGCTCATCCCAGCGCAGGCCGTCTTCTTTAGCAAAGAGAAGTAACACGAGCACAAGGCCCTTCTGCCTTCTCAGCAATATCTTTAACTATCTAAAAAGCAAATAAGCAATGATAAATATTGTTATCTTAACTCGGGGAGGCTGTTGACACCAACAGGCTTCACTTGGCAGGTCGAGCGCTCGCAGGGGAGGACAGCGGCTCAGCAGAGGGACAAGTCCCCCTCCCAAGGTGCCACAACCCCCTCTGCTCGATTCGGGGGCAACTCTGCAACATTTAAGGACGCAGGTAGACCCAAAGGGTGTCTGAGGACTCAACCAATTCACATTTTAGCTGGGAAAAGCCTTTACCGGCAGATCTGCTAATAGAAAGCAGAAAGTGCCATTGCAGCACAGGAGACCTTGCCCCTTTCTCCCACCTCTCTGGGCAGGGAAAGCTGTTCCTTCCCCATTTACCAGTTCTGGCATTCAATGCAAATCAAACCCAACGGAAAACTAGTTTTTGCTTGTTCACTCCTTTGTTTCCTCCCTCTCCTCTTCCTTCTTCCTGAACTCCTTTTCCTCATATTCTCTCGCCTTCATAAACCAGCAGAAAGCCAGGGCTGTTAAGGGATTTACTGCCTCGGTAGAAAAATCTGCTAATCTACATTAGCAGAAAATTTTGCCACGTCTCCTTGCAAACCAAGGAAGAGAACTAAATGAAATCCCACTGGGATGCTCCGGCTACCTCAGTGTAACAAGGTTCAGATCAAGCCGCTTGTTTCACTTGCTGCATTGCCTGGTTTTAATCCAATTTGGTTCGGGACACATAAAATAGCTCCTTTTCCACCCTCCGGGAAGCAGCAAGCGCAGCCAGAGCCAAGGGAAGTGCTGGCAGGTCCCGCCTTGCGTGCACTGTGCTCGCTTCTTCGCTCACACTTTTTCAGCACTACCTTTTTTCATCTGCAACATTTTTGGTTGTTTTTATTGCAATCTCACCCCAGAGTCACTACAAACCAACAGCTAAAAGGCAAAGGGGTACTGCGCAGGCTGGACCGCGTTCAGCGCCGGCGCGGCCCCCCTGGGTTTCCTGCCAAGCTGCCACTGCAGCCAGCTCTGGCCAACACTGTCCCTTAAAGCCTGTTTTTTTTTCAAAAATTAAAATTAGGAAAGGTGCTCCCTCGCAACAGCCTGGAGGAAAAATTAAAAAAGAAAAAAAAAAAAAAGCTTGTACACAGGTAAGAGCGAGGCCCCGTCTGCAGGAAGCACAGCGCTGCCCGGCTTTACCTATCGCCTCACATCAGATTTACTCCAGGAATTGCCGAGGGGCCGCCCTGCTCCACGATAACAAAATCTTCCCGGAGACAGAGGCAGAAATAGCCACATAGTGGCTTATTGCCTAAAACACCAGTGAAACAGCTCAGCCTCTAATGACAGCTGCCCTGCATCATGCAGAGATTTTTTTTTTTTCTTTTCTTCCTTCCATCCCAGAATCTGCCCCTTTGACTTCAGACAGAGATCAGCAAATATTTAATTAACACATTTGACCTTTTATCAAGTCCTCGATGCTGATGGCTTTCCGCACGCAATTTAGGTGCTCTTTCCTGGAGCCTGCTGCAAACCTGCGACGAGAGCAATGTTCCAAGGTTCTTCACATCTCAAACCTTTGAAAGTTTTCTTAAATTCTGGATTTGAAAACTGAGAGAACATGAAAGTGTCATCTTCCATTATTATTTTAATAGCGTTTAAGTTCGTACCTGTAGGGCGGCATAAAGTAGAAAACAAGCGCTCCCTAGAAAATCAAAAGCTGACAGACCTTTTAATAATTCCTTTTTCTGTACGTGCTTAAAATTTTTCAAATTTCTTGTGGGAGGAAGGGGTTGAAGTTGACTGAGCATAAACGATGCCTCAGACTGGCTGAGAACACGCAGGTCATTGCACTAAGCTGGCAGAGAGCAGCCCAGTCCTTCTGGTTTTAGCTGGTGTTACCGGACACCTTCTCACAACGTTCTTCTCTTTACTAACCTTTTGTTCCTGATCATTGGTAAAATGCCAAAAAGTCTCGTGTCAGTGAGTTTATTTCCAGTTAAAAGGATGTCACAGGTGCACGCCCTGATTTTGCT